ACTATCGAGGTGAACCCCGCTGGAGCCTCCTCGAGAAGAAAAAACATCGACGCGTTTCATTCGTATTTGCTGCCGGCAAACGCACTCCCGTTTCTGAAACGGGGCCTCTTGTTCCTATCCCTGACGTCTCTGGCACTGCTGGAACGAAACCCATCTCCGATCGCTCTCACCAAGATTTCAACAATCGACGACGGCGTTGCGCGGCTTGGTTCGTCGCTGCCGTTGCTCATGTCGCCGACCAGGTTCTTCGAAAGCGCAGCGAGGCAGCTGGGCAAGCTCCGTTTTCGCCTAGACTGGGCGAAGATCTGGTCCATTCCGAACGAGATCCTGCCCTCGCTCACATCGGCYCTGATCTTTGCCTGGGTTCCCAGCCTGGTGATGCACCAGGCCTGGTGGGAGCTGGGCTTTCTGACCCTTTCGCTGACCTCCCAGCCCAGCCTCAGGCAGTACTTTGTGGCCCAGGTGGTGCCATCCATGGGTGCAACCCTGCAGAAGCTCGTGTGGAGCGAATTCTGGAAGCGGGCCTGGGATTTCATGCTGGAACCCTTCTCGCACAACATGTTGATGCCACAGGTCTTCCATCCGTTGTCCTTTTCCTCCTCGCAGGAGGGAGGCGAACCCAAAGACACACAGACGCAGTCCCAGCGCTTTTCTCATTTCTGGAAAAAGCGCGTCGTCTCGAGAATCGACACGTGGACCAAGTCCTCCATGAAGGCCCTGCTGCAAAAGAACGTACAGGGCTCCATCAACGGGCTGGCGGAAGACTCCTGGGAGGCCCTCGTCTCGGCGGTAGCCTCCTCGTCGGTGGAACTCTCATTGTTTTACGCGAAGGACGATGCCACCGTGCTCCACGAGCTCCCGGCTTCGACCGCGGACGCTTCRGGCACCGGCGAAGACGAGGCACAAATGGTGGAGCTGGAATCGGACGATGCTTCGGCGCGAGAACAAGACAYGGCCGCCCCGGCGACGTGCGAAACCGCGGTCGACAACGATGACAGCGATAGTAMCATCGGATCCAGCGAGAGATGAAGGTTGATTCCGACGTGTGTTTGTTGCACCGAGTCCATTCCGAGAGCGTGTGTAATATATAAGATCAGTCTATACAATAGAGACCCTACTCCATCACTATCTCTTATGTTTCTAGAACCCTCTCGAGGTGCGACCGTCGSCCTCAGGCTTTTCTGTTTAGCCAGTAATAGAGAAGGGCACCACGCTTGTCTCAATTTATAGGTGGGTTTCACGTTGAATGTAGTCGCAAACAAAACCTGAGAGGACAGCGACAAATCGCCTCGGATCCAAGGGTCTCCGAGAAATTTCGGTTCGGCCACTCTTCYAGTCGTTAGTTTTCGGTGCACTGATGACGTTCTAGGGTAAAGTAGACGGCTTGTGAATCCCTAATAACTAGTGAATGACTTCTGTCATTTCATGCCGGGGCACGGAACGAGCTTTCGTACTTACAAATACCAGTACGTACCGGTACCCGTACTTTACTGTACGAAGAACTTACAACCAATCTTCCTACCGGTACTTGTACGAATCTCACCGTACGCCCTCCTACAGAGGTGACCTGTTTGCYTTTTAAAAACCTCGGAAGAGTACCGGTACGTAGTATGCGTAATACATCGGTAGTACAGTACGAAATACGAGTACAAGAGTCGTACGAGCTCCCCCCCCCCCAGCCAAGCCGCAACGATACGAATACGAGTAGTAGTGTCCCCATGTACTCCTACCAACTGGTAAATAAATTTGAAAAAATTAATGACCGTGTGCAGACCGAACGTTTTTTGCTATCCGTTTGGGGCATCGTAATCCTTTCACTACTCGTATTTACACTATTYAGAGGCCAAAGCAAGGATGAGTTCTATGCCCACACCGCAATAGGCAAAGACACAACCGGCGACAATACCACCAACAACAATAACATGGAGCCGATGCCTCCGCCACCAGAGGCCGTGGTGGCCATGGACCGCTTCGTCTCTGCGTCGAGTGCCCAAGACGCCATTAACGGKCTGGAAAACCTGGTCGACGCCTTTAAAAATTCGAACCAAACSAAAAAAACGAGCGAAAACGGCGAGAACGGCAGCGATGTCGTGTGGCAGCCCGCCTGGATTTTTGAGCACGAAGAAATCGTCGAACATCTTATCTGGTTGCTGCAACACAGCACGTTAAAAGCCAATGACATCCCCTGTCAAGAAGGTGTCCACCTTGTCTGCAAGCTCTATCAGTATCTGGCAAAAAGCCCGGAGGCTCTGCAGAAACCATCTCCCGGAGTATTGATTGAGTCTCTGCTGGATGTCCTAGACCACTCGGAACAAAAGCACCCCGTATTTGTCCGAGTGTTGGCACTCAAAATACTGGAAGATGTATCCAACCGGCACAAATCGATCGCTCTCAATCAATGGCTGGAAGCACCAAACGGGCTGCACAGAATCGCYGACCTCCTCGCCATAGACGTCGAACAAGCTCCCATGGAAGAGCCGATTCGGAACCAATCTTTGATTGTGGCCCAGTCACTGGCTCGCGAGGCACCGATGGCAAAAGTTTTCTTGTTCGCCGAAGTCGAATGCAAGCTGCTCGACCTGTGTTGGAAAGAAGGCGGTCTCACAAAGGGGAGCCCCATCGTTATTGACGCTCTGCAACTCATTCAAGAAGTATTGAAACATGCGGATGCATCGCTGCAGGATCTGGTCTGGCAGCGACCAAATATTGCACCGAGATTGGTTCAGTTGTTGGATCTCCGAGGCGGTGAAGAATTTTTGCATCCCAAGAAATCAACGTCTTCRAATGCCGACGACACCGACGACCTCGACTCACTCCTGTCCAGTGGCGATACATCGAAAACAAAG